TTCTCCTTCTTCCTCTTCTTCTTCCTCTTCTTCTTCTTCCTCTTCTTCTTCTTCTTCTTCTTCCTCTTCTTCTAGAGGGCTCGAATATAAAAAATTTAATAAAATGGCTTGCCAAAAACTTCCCATTTAACAAAAAAAGTTGTCTAAAAACTTTCACTAAATATTAATGTTTTCTCAAGGGCTTATATCGACCTGTGAGATATACAACTAATTAGTTCAATTAGAAGACTGAAGACATATAGTTTAAGTTTTAAATGAATATGGGAGCAGAAGTTGCATCAAAACAAGACCATTTACAGAAAATTTCAAATTTAGAGATAAATAATTTTCGTCCTGCATGCTAAGATAATAGAAGCTAATAGCCTTGTATGTGGAACAGTGTCTAGTTAAAATTTTTTTTTTTTTTTTTTTTTTTTTTTGATTGATTTCGTTCCAAGAATCGTCCACGAATTAATCAAAAGTTTCTAACGATTTCCATGGTTGTAAAAAAAAAAAAAAAAAGAAAACCACGAATGAACTTCTTAATGTTTTTAAATTAATAAAGAAGGAGCGAAGCACTGAAGGAAGAAAGAAAGAGGAAACGAATGAATAAACCAAAGAACAAACGAACTTAACGAATGAATTTGATCTAATTYGTAATTCATTATCAAGTGGATTGATGGATGGGTTTTGTAAGACCATTTTAGTTTTAGAAAAGTTTTAGACCATCCAAATGCTTTGAATGCAGCTTATATAAACTTGTCATAATTCCTTATAAATAATAAAACTTTAAACTTAAGAAACATCCGCAAAAGTTATGCGCAATTAAGCGATATGTTTTTATTTACAGGTCACAGAACACCATGGAATCTCCATTAGTCCTTCTACGGTCTAGTGAGATTTGTGACTTGCTGATTTTTGAATTTAGTACACAATATCATGAATATATCAATGACAAGCAAACAGGAAATAAAGCGAATATAACGTCATTGCTAATAGTGTCTTCGCGTTTAAATTTCCTGTATGTTTTAGCATTCTTCATTCCTCACGGGACTTTGCTGAACTCGAAGATAGCTAGCTTCCAAAGTTTCCAAGTTGGACAAAATGAAATTCGGCGTAGCCATTCTGGTAGGTGTATAGATCGATAAGATAAACGAAAGGAACGAAGAACGAAGAGAATTATATTGTTCTTTTCTAATATTATTCTTTTTTAATTCCTGGCCAGCAATTGTCAAAATACTTGAAATATAACGATCTAATCATATATACATATATATAAATTTTCGAGGAATCGTTTGCAACACTGTTGAGTACACAGAGAAGCTTGAAGGTTTTGAAATTGAAAAGCGCGCTTTATAACCAAATTTTTGACACTGTCAGTTTAAAGTATCTAAGACTAATTTGTTTATAAAAAAAAATTCATCGTCTTCCCTTATGGCAAAGATAAACGACAAAAGTCAGCTCATTGTATACGTTCTAACTGAAGTTTACGATACTATTTTACAGATTGGATGCGTGCTACTGGTTAAGTACCACGTAAATGCAGAAACCGTTTTTCAGACAGGTAAGAAAATTATAACCTTACAATGCAAAGCGAAACGCAGTTCAAATTTCTGATTTTCATAGTTAAGAAGCCAATATATTTAGAGAGTTTTCACATTCCGAGTGTCTTTTAAAACTAGTATCAAAACAAGCTCCTTTGCTGTAAAATTACGTGGCTACACCTATTAACGCTCAACATTTTAATCTAGACAAGATAATTATTTTGTTTTTTTGTCGTTACTAATTCTCTTGCCTTAAGAGTTCATAAATGCATTTTACTACCCTTGTCTGCCATTTTTGTCTTTTTTTCTTTCTT